GTTAAAATTTGCATAAAACATTAGCGCGTAACAAAGATAGTGATAAAGGAAAGAGTGGTGACACTCTGATTTCGGTCGTGCAAGATCATGTTTACTTTGATACATAAATTCAATTATACCGGAATTGATGGCAGTATGTAACGATTTTTCTTTTCACCGTTGAGTGCGTAGCCGACCAAGGAAGGTCAAACTTATAACCTACCCGACGTTGGGCAGATACGCTAACTTTTGGACCATAAATCTGACAGAACAACACATATATTTGAAATTAACATACGATTCAAAGTAGAAACTCACCTGTAGTGTTACATAAGCAGTCGTCTGTTTCTCATTAAAGGCAATATATTCGGGTTCCATATTCTGTGAGAAGCTAGTTGATATATTTGGGAATTGTCCCAATAAGGGAGCTCTTACCCCAGCTTCCAAATATTTCTGTTTTCTGCAAAGACAAGATTATGTCATGTGAGATTCGAGTTGGCACAATACAATTATATCACTATTATAAAGAAGGAAACAGAAATATAACTGTATTTTTTGTGTGAAACAACGAAGTTACACACACGGTGTTAATCAGATTTAGATTAACCTATTTTTGTAGAGTTTTGACACCTTCTGTAAAAAGTTCATATTTTTCCTAATATTTTATTCATTCGCAATTTTATATTAATATTTTACACCAATATATAGTAAATACAATCAATATTAATAAACATATTCGGTCATAACATATTTTATAATGACCAAGATTACAAGAGCCAATACATTTTAACCAATTAAAATACAAATAACGGGAACTGATAATAAGACAATGCAGATCCTCCAGGGAATACATAATAGTAAAAACTCAAATGAAAAAAAAAAAAAAACGTATTGAAGGAACATAATATTCTAAAAATAAAAATATACATAAACAAAGCCATTACTTAATGTGTAAGCAACTACAAATAAAATAATAGAGTCACAAGGGCAAAAGTCTGAATTTAATTTGAATTGCACGAGGTTGAATCATTATTCATTCAAATAATCAAATAGTATACATTGAGGACGGCACAATGTGACTTATGAAATTTATTTATTATTCTCGTAATAAGCTATGGTTATATTTATTGCATATCAAGTTGTTCGGTTTAAGCACTCTTGAAAAACAAGTGCCTCCAATTTTTGCCATTTCAAAAATAGCGATGAAATCACGTCACCGAATTATTTGTTTTATGTATGTATGTACACACCCTAGAGAAAATTCCAGAGCAATGTAGTCAGTTGTTGCAACTTTATTGTTCCACGTGTGCTCAGTTCCAGTCCTACTAAATCGACATGTGTTTATATTGTGTCATGGAGATAAATGGTAAATTGATCTTTGTCTATATAAAAAACATTTCTAGAACACTAGTCCGCATCATAAATCCACCCGACCGATTCTATGATGATGACGGAAGATAACAAGCTCTAATGTTATCGATTTCCGGTCCAACTCACGTCCGCTGGAATCACGCGAGCATGGCCATTTTGCGCCATTTTAAATATATGAGCATGGCCAAACGAGCCGGCAGTGTTCATAAAATCAAGTCAGAATGAAGATTCAATCCAGAAGATTCACATGCCAGTCTGTATATGTCAGGGAGAATTCTCATTCAGTACACTGCTTGACTTGCCTGTTATTAAATGATGTAAAGTCAGCGGTTCTGATCGTGGATGCTGGCGGTGACAATGATATTATTGAAATCGTTCCTTCTGGATCGATGATATCCCATGAATCGGGTGATTTCCCAGGTTCACCTTCGTTCGCCACGACGATAGTGCTGCAGTCTTTGGTGAAGTGAAGCATATCAGGCAATGCACCGACTGAAAACAAGTGAATTGATAAATCCCCGTATGAGCATATAATACTATGTATTGAAGCTAACAGCCGTTTTAATTTGAACATACAGTGCTTGCAAAACATGTCAAATTATTGAAATGAATTTAATTAATTTTAATCATTATATTAAACTTAATATTGATTAAGATTTAAAGTTGAAATTAGCAAAATTGAATGAACAGAATTGTTTTGCCGATGCAAAGTAGAAAAAACACCTATGGGGCTATATTGTGCTAACTTTGGTTAGTACAAATATGTTGATACCTGTGGCTAACCTAATTGAATTAAGTGAATTAAACCATTTAATTGTTCCATACGCATTAAAAATGTATATGATATATAACAACATTTTAATACTTAATAAACCAGACAATACAGTCACAATAAAAAATGTCCAATACAAACCTTGAATATCTTCAATGGGATTCCATACACCGGACCTGTCATATCGATTATATATATACAGGTTGCCCGGGGTTACCTTATGGGTTGCACCTTTCGTAATTGCGACATAGTCTCCACAAATCTCTACATCCGTGGCAATTCGATCAGTATTGGCATGGTAGATTATGGTCGGGTTGTCCGTGTCAGCAACATCAATAATGTGGATGGCGGAGTCACCTGGAAGTGGATGAACACACACAATTGGTTGTGAACACAGGTTTTATCTTAATCCAACGTACACATTATTGTGAAGAAGAAAAAAACATATTGAAGGTACATCTCTGAGTTTCATGTATTCACTTGATTAATATTTCCCACCATCATGTGCTTCATATATAGTAGATCATTCTTAGAATGTAGGCACACGGTTGTTCGTGTACTAAATAAACATAATCAGAGATCGATAGATAGTGTCTGTATAACACGTCATTCCAGTATTATTTATAGCCCATATGAACACTGTTGGGGTTCATTAGAAAAAAATTCGTCTTCATTGAAAAGTGTATGTAAAGCAGTAATGTATCAGCCTAAGTGGGTAACTGTAATGGACTAAACGGCGCCCTCTGTGGCAGCTATATTATCGCTTATTTTTGTCGGCCATCTTGTTTCTCTGCCATGTGGACGAAAGATAAAGCGGAGGATTTTGATCGCAAAATGCAGGTACCCAAAATGTGCTGGAAAGCAACCGGCAATCACAAGGATTGTCATTATAATGTTACATGTTGACACTGCCGTATCAGAATTGCTTGTACAAATATACCCTTCTTCAAGGGAGTATAAATAATGATAATCAAACCAGCAGCAGAGGAAATACATGACTTCCGACCGTGTGTCTGAATATGCACATGCTAATGTAAATACTTTAATATGAACCAATCACTATTGAGGTTTCAATTAACAATTGTGTGAACGTTATTGACTCAAGTGGATGTTCTTAAATCCCAAAGTTTGGGACGTTCAATTTTGTAGCGATGCTAACAGAGATTTTTTAGCAAAAAACATCAGAATCTTCTGGAAGATTATCGAGTGTAAGAGAAAAATACATCAGCCATAATCTCTTAAAATAACAAATGAGCACAATTGTTTAGTAAAGATAGTCAAGATAGCCCAGGGCCAGTTTCTTCTTTGTGTACGTGTATACGTGGAAGTTCTAATACTAAAGTATGGAGGCACGTGGGCCAATAACTGACTGAGAAATCATCGTAGATTTTACTGTAATTGACACGGCATACAAATTCATGCTTCCCATTAGACATCCAAAGAAATAAAGTATAATTTTGTTTTAAGATTTCCAATACTGTAATAGTAGTATATTGTATTTTGGGAATCGGGTGAAATGTTCTTCTAGTATCCATTAACCAATGCAATTGGGAGAATAGTGCACCATTGTGTCACTTACTTGGAGGACACGAAACGACTCAACTCATACACGTTGCTTAACTTATCTGAAAAAAAAACGCTGACATTTATCAACTTTTAAAACACAAACTTTTAGTTCGTTTTGATTAGCAAAAAAAGTATATTTCAATCTTTCCACAATAATTTGGAATTTTTCAATTTTCTATTTGTACACGATGGTCAGGTAATGAGAATGAACCTTTTACGTTTTCACACTGGACTTGGAAGACTGGAAACTGAAATCTTACATAAACTGGCCAAGTGATGATATCAGCATGGTGGCATTATTTGAACTGTCGCAATTAATTTACCAATTTGTGATTTTTATTTTAGTTAGATCATTCAATTAGTTATCCTAGGCTTTCAAATAGAACGCAACTACCATGAATATCGTGATATTTTCGAAAATAATGTAAGTGTTTGGCAATCTTGCGAAACGTAAAGCTGTGGTCTTTCACAAGGAAGTGTTCTTTCGCTTATACCATGAGAGGTGTTCAACCTTTGTGTAACTACATATGACTGGTACACTTAACAGTCCGGGCATATATGCATTATATCATTTGTTTCTGGTTAGATTTTTATGCTTATGTGGAGAAAATAGAGGTCGTATGTGGCATCCTGTGCCAATCTGACTAAAATCGGATGTATTGTATGCCGTGTATTTTATTTTATTTTGTTTTGTTTTAAATAATTATTTCACTTTTACTACTATTATTTTTACTACTGGTTTAGTCAACGAATCACAGACTGAATAAACGAACCTAGCTTGGCCGGTGAATATGCAGCAGGAAGTGTACACATTGAATTGAAAAAATATATTCAATGTTTTGACACAAATTGTAAAATACTGTTGAATCCTTTTTGTAAATAAAAAACTAAACTGGTAATTTTCTATTAATTTATTGAGTTGCACATTAATTGGTGGGCAAAATATAATGTACAGAATGATTGCCCGTAGAGTATTGCTACGCTGGAAAGTGTGAATTGCCAAAAAAATTTTACTAGAGTGAGAAACTGATATCATCCTCGCCAATAACTGACGTGGTGGTGAGTGGAATTTTGAAATAAAACGGTTTAATGAAGAGAACCCAAATTCGCATTGATAAGTGGCGAAAAATCAAAGGTCAACAAAAGTTTGCGACAAAAAAATGTATCTACATGGCAGAAAACAAATTATCACCAATACCGATGTGAACATGAAGTCTTGCCAAACTGCGAAAAGTGCGCGCTTCTCACGTGGTGGTGTGAGTGACAGTAATAATACTGCAGTCAATC